ACTAATTAGCCAATCAGCTTCCAGCATTTCTCATAGAGTGCAAGGTTTAAATATTAAAAACACGTAGTCGTTGTTGAAAGATATTCTCAGCATTATTGAACGATCGATATACTCACTTTTAGATACAGAAATGCAAATCTAAAATCCACGTTGCTACTATAAGTTGAAATGAAACTTCTTTCGTGAAAGAAACAAACTAAGACAAAAACTAACTATCATTAAATCTGCTGTCGTGAGCAAATATACGTAAGAAACTTAAGTCGGTGACGTTGTTCTTTGTGTCGATAATCTCCTTAGGCATTCGTAATAACCAAAGCGTTCGCCAGTAACCACACGCAAACAAAATACAACAGGGGCACCCAACGACGGTTTTCTCCTAAATACAATGAAAACACTTTTTAGGCTATCCAGAGTACCTTTAGACCTCTAAAAATGTGTTGTAAGCGGCGCTATAAGATTTGTACCTGTTCGGTCATCCTAGGCTAGCCTAGGGGAACTGAAGTCGTTTCGAAACTACAAGGGCCTTAGTACTTTTTCTCCTAAAATTTTAGAGGCAAATTAAGTTATTACGAGAGTGAAAATTTTTCAGATTTCTCTCTCCATCATATTTTTTGTACGGAAAATAGGCCATCATGGGGGGGGAAATGTGAAAATTAGACTTCAGAAAATCGTAGGGAATTTATTAGATAAACTGTTCGAAAATTGCACATGATTTATGGAACCGTCATTTAGAAATTTTAGCCGTCCTCAAGCTATAGAAAATTCTACGCAATATTTTCTTCTCCGAAAAGATATTTTACAGAAAACAGTCGTTGGGTGCCCCTGATACAATATTATAACCAGTCCTCATTTACTTAGAACGTTCGTCAGTCAGTGGGAATACATGCTCCTTAATTGATGCGTATAATTATTCAGCCGAGTTCATTATAACTGCTAATCAGTAAATCAGCTTACAGCATTTCTAACGGAGCACAAAGTTGAACATTAAAAACACTTCGTTGTTGTTGAAAGATATTCTCAGCATTATTGAACGATCGATATAGTTACTTTTAGTTTATACGGCAAGGCAAATCTACATTGCTACTTGCTATAAATAGAAACGAAACTTCTTTTGTGAAAGAAACAAAACCAAGACAAAGACTAACTTCCATTAAATCTACTTTCGTGAGCACCATGCGTAAGAAACTTAAGTCGGTGGCGTTGTTCTTTGTGTCGTTAATCTCCTTAGTCATTCGTAATAACAATGCATTTGCCAGTAACCACACGCAAACAAAATACATTATTACATAACCAGTTCTCATTTACTTAGAACGTTCGTCAATTGTTGGAAGAGGTATACATGCTCATCGCCTTGGCTTGAAACAGCAGAAAGGTCCTGTTGCTTAACTGGTGGAAGTTACACTAACTTGAATTAAGGTAGCTATAGATCTATCAATAGATTTTAACCAGCTATAAAGTGCAATCGGATCATAGTCTAAGAAATTTTCTGACATTATAAGCAAAAAACTTGAACGGGTACCGTTAAATCAGAAATTAAGTCACTAGCATTTTGACTTCGCTCAAGAGAGCGAAAAAAAGCATTTTCGTGTTCACTGCATTTTTTAAGTACATTGCCCTTTACTATAGACTTAATTTTAATGATATAGGAGGCAAATAAATCGATTTAAGCCTTTGAGGGAGATAGGTTGACGGCGATAAGTGAGATTGCTTGTTCATTATATATACCGACAGTCCGACTTTTTCTGGGACAAAAAAACTTAAATTATAAATTTTGAAGTGTCCCTTTAGTCCTTTAAAGAAACAAAAGTGTTTTAATTTCAGTTAAAAAAATAATAAAACAAAATTCCACTCGTTTCTTGAACAAGTGTAAGGTTTAGATAACCCTTAAATGGAGTTCTCCAGTCTTATTGCAATTGAAGTAATACATATTCAGTTACCCGGATCAGACTGTTGAGTGAACTACAGCGATCTCTTTTGCATGCTAGGAAATTAATCTTAAGGTTCGAGTTAACGGAATATTACCGGTACTATATCTTTACATAGAACCGATAAATTGGCCTTTAATTTTTGCAAGAAATTGAATATATGGGAGCAAAAACTTTGTTTTATTCACGTTTTAGTGTCTCAGAGTTGACGTTTGGCGAATGGATCAGATTAAAGACACCTTGCAAACTATTAGGGAACAAGCAGAATTGAACAGTGACCTTCTAACACTGGATCTTTTACAAGAATCGGCCGATATCTGTGGTGCTGTCACTTTTGGACTCACGACATTCATAGCAAGAGCTCTAAAAGTTTTAAGAATGGCAGTTAAAGAGGAAAATTTAAAAATGCAGTTGCAAGACCAGTTAAGGGACAGGTGGGGAGCCAACGCACCAGACCTGGATGCTTACATCTAACTCGCAAACTATTGACTGTTTTACACTGATAAACTACAGCAGACACCCGCATATAAGAACCTAGTGGATTAAGAACTTCCTGTGAGAAATTTGCTACTTTAATACCAAACAACACAAGAGCCTGTTTAAGCAGGTTCTTATCTGTGGGTTACAGTTATATTGCGATAAACATTGAGATTGCAAATTTATATTGCAAGAAAATACTGTAGCAAACTGTAATTACTGATAAAGGTATTACCTCTGTAATTCCTACAACGAAAAAAGTTTGTATAAGTACTGTACTACAAATTGTATAGTTCTCTACTTGGCCTTCCATAAAGGAGGTTTGCTATGTAGAGTTTTGAATATATTTTAAATATTGTATATTTAAGGACCGCAAACCTGAGTTTCTTTATTTTCCCAGTAGTCACGAATATCATTGATCTTCTTCATAGAAATTAAGAACCTAACTAAGGAACTACATATAACTTAAACTGCCAACAAGACAAGCCCCAAACTATTGCAAGAACCTATTTTACCAGACCTCAAATAGGTACCGTAGGTTCTTTTACGCGCCAGGGCGTTTGCTGTTCCCACTGTATAAATAACTGGCCCGTGACGAGGGAAATAAGTAAAGGTTGATTTCCACTGACGCGTTTTTGACTACGCACGTTAACGGTAAATTTTAATCACGTAAGTAAAATAGAGGCAAGGTATAAAGTGTTGAGATTAAACGTGAACTTGAGCGAGGTTCTACTTTTGCGCTTACGTGCGACCTTTCATAAATTGCGAACGTAAATTTTACCTTCGTACGCACGTAAAAATTACACGACAGTGGAAATCAATCTCCGTCGTGTTGGGCCTTCGCAGGTGGCATGATGCATTGCGGTCCTTGGTTAGAATTGCTCGGTTTTTGCCCGCCTCTTGTCCAGTTCAACGGAGTTCAGTAGAAGTAACTTCAAAGTTTCGCCCCTCCCACTTCCCCTGGTGGCGGTTGACCTCAATAGATATAGAGTGCGAATATTCAGGGATACTATTTCTTTCTCCTCAACAGAGAAACCAAAGGCGAGTAACCTCTGCTGCCGGTTTCGTTAGAAAGTAACGATAAATTTCAAGATAAATATAAAAAGTAAATATTACAAAAATCTATAGCATCGTCTATAGAGCTTGAGATGACGAACTATGATACACTAACATCACTCGTTTGCTTTTAAAACAAGCGCGCAAAATCTGCGACGAGTACTAGCTACTCGAGGAACTAAACTCTAAAACTGACTTTAAAATGCTTTTTAATAGAGTGTTTTCACTCACGTGACCATCATCTATGCAAATTTATTGGAACAAAAGAAAGCGTTTGCATAAGAAAAGAGTTCAACTCCCACAGGACTGGTTTGGGACACCAACATGGCCGCCGTTTCATTGTTTTGGGACACCAATATGGCCGCCGTGACGTCATGTGAAAACACTCTATTCAGTAAAAAGCATTGCTTACTTTTAATATTACTTCGTTTCTCTTCAGCGATACGTCCACTATGATGAAGTCAGGTCGGATTAATCACCTAAGAACGATCGTCCGAGAATAGATCGCCTCTCAACTTCTACGATATTTCTCAAATGTGATATGTATACAGAAAGTGTCCGAGAACTGGGCTAATTAACTTAAGGCCATCCTCTTTTTTTTCTCCGTTTAGCGTCGTCCGACCGACCCAAACTTCTAGCATTTTCAACAAAAAAAACGTAGCTTCGTAGTTAAACCATTTATCACTTGAAATAATTCTGTTAATCTGAAAAATGAGCATATTATCGGCATAGAGAAAAACAGGAACAAAAACAGGAACATTTTTTACATTGTATTGTGCATTTTTTTAATCCAAATATTTTAATGTTAACTTTTAACGTCATCCTGGGGTACCATGCCAGGGCCTCCTATTCCGATACTTCTTATGATTTTTTTTTTAGTTTTTTTTTTCTAAATCCGACCGATTGACCCAATTTTAGGAAAGGCATTCGACGCTAAACGACGAAAAAAAGTGATGGCCTTAGTTTATGTAGGTATACGCACGGAAAATTCGCGTGCAACGCTTGAAAGCGGCGGCGAAGCAGTGTGACGTCAGGATAAAGTCAGCTGGAACGCTTAGGTAAGACAATTTGTTATTTAACGCAGGGGATGCTACATGGTATGAGAAGGTTGGGAACAAAGTGACAATAAAAAGATGAAAAATTAGCGGATTTCGATATTCACAAGCAGTCTCACGGCGTGAAAAATCATGTTATTAATTGTCTTTATAGTCTTTATACTTTTTCTCCCTATGCCGGCGCCAAAATAAAGCAAATGAAAAGAAAGGAAAACAGAGTCCTTTTTCCACTAATCCACAACGCTGGAAATTTGTTACGATTGGACATTTGAGTAACTGTAAGCTCAGAAAGCCCTAAACAATCTTCGAACGGGTGTCCCCTCTCCAGTTGGACTCCTTGTATTAAGTTACATGACATCGCTAGTTCGATAGCAAACACCCACTGACCAATAAGGTTTGCTGCCCTCGTTTACTCCATGCTTACCAGAGGCAACAGTATTTCTCTTTTGTAATTTCCTTTGATTTGGATATTTGATCGTTTATACTCATGGATTCCCTTCTTGAACCATTCACTAAAGGGAGGAAGGAACAGTTTTGTGTTGAAATGATGCAACGCCTCGATATTCAGAGAAGGAACGAACATTTCTGTGATGTGATTCTGGAAGTCGGCTCCGGTGATGATCAAGCTCGCTTGAAAGCCCACAGAAACGTGTTGTGTGCAGCAAGTCCGTTCTTTTTTAATGCTCTAAACAGCGAAATGAAAGAGAAGAAAGAGGGAGTGATCCGACTGGAAGACGCTAGCAAATCGGTGATGGAACAAGTGTTGGAGTACTTGTACACGGGCAATGTTGACATCAATGAAAAGAATGCATTTGATTTGTTTGCCCAAGCTGATTATTTCCTTATTTCAAGCCTGAAAGCTCGATCTAGCAAGTTCATTCTCCAATCATTGTCCATTTCTAACTGCATTACGGCGTACTATTTTGCACTGAAATATCAATGGGAAGAACTACAGAGTGGAGCAAGAAGTTATATTCTGCGAAGATTTTCTGCTGTGGTTGAAACTAATGATTTCCTTAATTTGAGCAGTAAACAAGTCGAGGAATGGATTTCAAGAGATGATATTGTTATCAAAGGAGAGGAAGAAGTATTTGAAGTAGTCTTGAGATGGATCGAAAAGAACGGTTCCAGAAATTACCAAACGTTTTATGATCTCTTCCAACATGTTCGGTTTATCTATGTTCCTCGCAACTACTTGTGTACAGTAATTCTTCCACACCGTTTAGTAAAAGACAGAAGGACATGTGTGGATTTGGTCTTGGAAGCACTGAATTGCACATCTGATGGTACTGAGGAGTGCTTTCTCGCCCAGGGACCAAGAGATTGCCTGAAAACCCATGAAGATGCCATTGTTGCCTGTGGTCACAAGAAAACATGTTGCTACATCCCTTCTAAAAACAAGTGGTATGAACTGGCGGGAATGCCATCCAAAGTGCCAGCTGGTGCCTGGCGTTACTTTACAAGTGCTTCTCATGGAAAATTGTTTGTGAGTACTGCACCAGCAAATAATGCAGATGGCTTCTTGGTGCAATATGATCCATCCCTTAACCAGTGGTCCTCAGTAAATACCAATCCTTTGGGACCAATACCCAGACACTCTGCTGTTGTCACTTTCCATGGTTTCTTGTATGTTATTGGTGGAGCAGACTCAAGCAGGATGTTTATGTACCGTGATGTTTGGAAGTACAATCCTGATACCAAACTGTGGCAGTCAGCTCCTCCAATGAGTGTGCCCAGAGCAAAAGTGTGCGCAGTTGCTGACCGACAATATTTATATGCTATTGGTGGTAAGAGAGATAATGGTCAGCTTTTGGACACAGTTGAAAGGTTTGATCCTTCAACAAATACTTGGAAAGTCCTTGCTTCAACCCTTGCAAAAAGAGCCTCTGCTTCGGGAGTAGCCATGAAAGAAAAACTGTACATATTTGGAGGTCTTGCCACAGAAGCGACAGTCGGAGACCCCTGCGAAATATACAATCTTACAACCAACACATGGAGTGGATTGTCAAGCCCTGTTGCACCAAGATGCCTTGCCAGTGCTGTGAGTTTCAAAGGGAAAATATTTGTGTTTGGGGCTTTTCCCCGCCAGGGAAGGAAGGAAATGAAATTGCAGGTGTATAATGTTGATGAAAACAAGTGGGAACCCTGTACAGGGGGGCCCAATTTTACTGCGGCTAAATTTCACAAAATCTCTGCTCTCAGAATTTTGAAAAGTTACTGTACATGTAGGTTTACTTACAGCTTTCTTGGTTTAGATTCTGATTCAGAAAGTGAACTCCTTGAGGTCTGATTCAGAATTTGAGGCTGTAGTACACTGCTAAGTTGTCTTGAATTAGCTTTGTACATGTAGAACAACTTACTGTAGGAAAAATGCATTTTGCCTGAATTTAGGTTGGCATGACAGTAGCTTCTTTGAAGTCTTCCTATTGCCATATAGCACAACAGAGGATGCTGGGTTTCATTTACATTGTATTGTTAGCCTGAGAAAAGAGCTGTCATTTCACGACACCACCACTAGTTTCTATGCGAAAAAATTCTGGTTAGTGCTCCTGATTGGTTGTGTCGCATGGGAAATTTCCTTCAACCAATCAGAAGCACTACCTGGATCTGGGTAGTGATGCGTCATCAGTATGGATTTTCAGCACTCGTTTCTAAGGCATCGGTTCACAGGGAAAGCAGTGGTAGTGTCACAAAGTGTTGGCTGTTTTCTCAGGATTATTTAATGGGTATTGCAGTAGCTGGACCACTTAGATGTAAGCTCTCGTTTTGGTACCTGTGGATGTTGCTTTTGTCCCACATATTCCATCAAATCAGAAGTTTTCAAAGAAATCATCACTTACCTGTCTAGCACAAATGGGAAGCTTGAGCACTGAGACAATTAAGATAGAAACAAAAAAAACAAAAAAGCAATTATAGGTTTAATATGGAGAACAAAACCTCTAAACATCACTACACTTATCTTTTTTTGAAAGATGCCTTTACTGTTATCTTGAGACTAACTTTGTCAACCTTGATCATAGTAGTGTTGCAATCATTTCTTTAAGTAACTAATATTTTTGTCCCAGAAAAAAACAAAAAACAAAATTTGGTGCCACATATTTTTAAAATAATTTGATCTTTGACATCTTTTGAGTGGAACTGTTGACAAGCCACAGGTGACCTGACTCACCAGTCAGGCTCAAAACAATATTTTTTAAGGGTTTTAAAAAATATAATAATATAAAAACGCTGCCAATTGTGTTGTTCCAGAAAACAGAAAGGCTCCGCCAGTGCAGGTTTTTTGTTGTGTTTGACCCCCCCCTTCCACGAACTCTAGTGGTCTGGGAAAATGTGTTCATGAACCCTTTAAGTCCCCCTATCCGCTTATTCAGTGATTCTGTTACAATTAGTTATGGTGAATCCTGGGACTGATCTTGTGAAGAATCATGAGTCCCAGCCCCAGTTAAAACAAAACAAGGAGTCATACTTGGGCCTTTATGTAACCAGACGGACAATCTGGAGACAGACGCCAAAACTCTTATTACAGTTTACTGAAATTAAAATGTAGTCTAAATATGCATCTTTAAACAACAGCCACAGAAATCACACGAACAGGATATTCTACATGACCAGTCTGTTTTACGAAGCATTGATGTTACAAAGCATTAATATTACAAGAAGAAATTTGATGCTGATTACTCTTAGGGCTTAAATGGTTAACCCATATATCATGAAAAGTACCCCAGATGAAGATTCAAGGAACGTCAAATCAGAATGTTTCTTAAATCTTCAAGGAGTTGAAGCCCTGTAAAAAACACCTAAATGGTCGGGATCCATTGGGCGAGTCAGGTCACAGGGAACATCTACCAGATCTTGGATATCTGAGTGTCACCATTAAACAGTTCTTCCTCTGAGTTTCATGGTGCATTCAGCAAACATAGAAAGTTATAGTTTGGAAATTACTTCAATTATTATTGATATTGTGTTTGGTCAGTTGTTCTGATGTGTTATTGAACTATGCCAATTATTATGTTATAGCTATTTTATTATAGGGTTGTATAGTTAGCATTAACGTTTCACCGTTTATTTCATAATAACTTTTTAATTGTAATTAATTCGTGTTTTTATTATGGAATAGTGTAATAATTTTATAGGTGGTCTTAATTTAGTTCAACCAATTAAAACTTAATGAGTATTTTATTAGTACGATTTTTTTAGACCTGCAAGAAAATGATTTTTTTGAAGAAGCCACTTGTTGTAACTGATTAAACTGACAGTTGTGTAGAAACTCGGATTTACTGTATTGGCGGGGAAGATAGTTTTCTTTTCCCTTTTTTCTCTCTCTCTTTTTATATTGTATATTTTTTCTTTTTCTTTTAAATTTTTTTACATAATTTTGTTTCACAATAGAATGAGTGTTTGCATCAGGCAATGTTTTATTTCCTTTGCGAACTGGGGGGTCAATAAATGTACAAGTGCAGAAATAAGCCATTGTCTTGTATCGGGGCTCGACAAATTTTTGTCAAGCGTCCGAAAAAAATCAATACAGCTGTCGATCATGTTGGAAGACCTTCGTTTTTGTTCACGCTTTTTACGCCAAATTTTAGGTGTTGTTGATGTTACTTTGATTGGCGTGCTTACTTAGTCTTGGAAGGTTCCCAACCTGAAATTTCTTAAAGGCAATTCAGTTCATGACTTTTAGTAGACGGACAAGTTTTTATTTTGTCACTTTACCGCTGTAAGGCTGGAATGCACTTTTTCCTCAGTGGAGGGTATCAATATAATGGCACCTGCATAGCAGATGTTGACGAGGAAGAAGTGAGGACAACGACCGAGGAAGTGAAAAAAGCAGGTAGGAGTATTGATCAATAAAATGCATTTCTACCATCAAGAACAATACGAGAAGGAAACTAGGGCCAGTTGATTTTCACAAAGACTTCTGGCATCGTTACTAAGGACGCGCAGGTATAAGCTGTTCCCTGTCCCTAGTAACAGTCTCTGGGGTCCTTGCGAAAGTTAACGTCTCTGCCCGGGGACACGTTTTTCGAAAGCCCCGATAACTAACGGGCCCGTTAAGCTGTTGTTTTTTACATGCAAGATAGAGGTTTAAAAAGTTTTGCACCTAACATGATAAAGCTATCAGTTAGTGAAACACAATGGAGTAGTTTGCTAGCCAGGACCCGCGCCCTTATTCTTTATATTTCGATTTGAATATTTGATTTCGGGCCCGAAAAGTTATCGGGACTTTCGAGAAACGGGCCCCAAGGCCTGTTTCTCGAAAGTCCCGATAACTTTTCAGGCCCGAAAAGCTGTTTTGTGTTTCTTGTGTTTGCATTCAAAATAAATGTTTTAATAATTTTGAAAATAGTACAATGAAACTATCCGTTAACGAAGCAAAATTGACTGGTTTGTAGGCCATGAACTGTGCTACTATTCAAGAGGTTTTGATTTTAAAACTTGCCTTCTTTTCGGTTCAGTGTTCGAGAAACGAGCCCCGGTCTCCTTGTCGTTGGTAAAGTGCAAATGAAGATGCAAATCCACTAGCCTAAGATCCAATTGACTTTATCAATAGATCGAGCGAGCTGTCAAAACGTCACAATCTTCCTTTATCTAAAATGCCGGCTACATCGTGAGACAAGGAATAATTTGCAATTTCCAATGCTGGGATTAACTTAAAATTTCTAATCATATTTGAATTTGATTCTTTTCATTCTATAAACACCAATGAAATATCAGGTAAGTCCTTCGCGAAATCATGATATCTTTACACGTGAAAAATGACTGTGGCTATGGCTACAATTATAAATCGCGCCTCTCGCGGCAAAAAAGTGTTCAAGTTAAATGGTGTCGTATTTCATGGCCTCCCTACGCAGGCGCTTTTAGAGGAAGCGTATTTCCAGAGAGGGGAGATACAAACCCATGGAAGGGCCTTCGCCATTTTACATTCCGACAAGTACCTGGGGACGAGGTTGATACGCCTTTCCAGCTCCCACCCCCCACCCCCCTTAAAGCACCTGCTTTAGAGGCGAGGTTTTAATGTCACTGCTGTTTATATGACAAATGGGAAATATTACACTATATAAGTCGCTTGGAGATCCCAAATTTCTCTTCGAGTGTTGAAAAGTATTTCACTCGTTCGCGCATTTTCAACACTTGACTTGAGAGAGAAATTGTTGATAAACATTGTTAATACCAATGGTTGCTATTTGATCTAGGTATCAAGAATGTGGTCATCGTTGGAGTTTTTTCCCCTGTTTCTGGGAAACAAGAAGACCAAGTAGGCGCTATCATCAAATCAGTTTGTCCAGACATGAGTATAACCCTCTCCCACGAAGTTGGCCTCATCGGACTTCTAGAGCGAGAGAATGCAGCTGTACTCAATGAGAGTCTGAAGCCACTTTGTCATCGAACAGTAAAAGCATTCTGTGGCGCTTTGAATCAACTTGGTTTAAAGTGCCCTTTGTATTTGACCCAGAATGACGGAACTATAATAAGGTATAAAACGAAATAGGCCATGCGAGTTGCCCCAAGCCTCTGTTTCAAAGTGAGGCTAAGTGTGAATCTATTGATATGAAAAATATCTTTTATTCTCATGCAAATAAACTCATTTTCACAAGAAAGGTTTTTTACTTAGCCTCGTTTTGAAAGTGAGAGTTTTTGGAACTCGGAAATGGCCTGATTGGGTTTTCTGTTTATCTGGTCGTGAAATGAAGCATGCATAAGAACACGAGAAAAATTTGTAAACATTTAATGTTCAACCATACCTAATCTCTATACCGTTTTGCTGAGTGCGCCTACGCGCATGGTTTACAACTGTTTCAATGAATTCAGTTTTCTGTACACTCTTGTTGAGAAAGTTGCCTCAAGAACAACTTTTTGAACTGATCGGCAAAGTTAGTGTTATTCGTTTTATGAAAATTTTATCTCTGGAGATCACTGAAATTCTTTTGACCTTGCATGGAACTTTCGTTTTACCAGCTTTTTGCTGGCAAGCAAGTGAGAAAACCTAATGTACGTATTTATCAAATGCCCTTTAAGCGGCAGGTCCCCTGAACATAACTCAGAGACGTCTGTAAATTCTTCTCCTTAAAGTTTATTTCTTGAATCTTTGTTTCGCAGTGCGGAGCGCATTAGACATCTCCCAGTTTATACGTTTGCATCAGGTCCAACGAACAGTATGCGAGGAGCTGCCTTTCTGTCAGGAACCAAAGACGCAATAGTAATAGACATCGGAGGAACAACCACTGATGTAGGATTGATCAAAGGCGGATTTCCAAAGCAAGCGTCTACCAGAGTTAAGGTGAAGAGAAATCTAGGCTATGCTTTACATTCAGGATAACTTGTCATTATTGTAGGCCCAAAAGGACTAAGAGTTGCATTTTATGGCTGTGGAAAGTCGAAAAAACGTTCTGGTTAGAGGTTTATTCATATCTTAAAGAGAGCACATTTACAGCAGTTACTGACTATAATTAAAAGGCCGGGATGAAATGTTCTAAACAAGGTATGTAAAAGGAGTACCATTTTCCAACGGAAGTTACACGATAGGGGTACTGTTTCTGCCAAAACTGGTATATAAAAGGGTAAGAGGTTAGACCTGGGGGGAGCCTCTTGGTATAAAATTTTACTGAGTACCCCTGGGGCTTGCATTGGCGGTGTTAGCGGTTTCAGTTCTTATAGCACCCGGTCTTACTTTTTTCTATGAACTAACTTATGTCCCTTGGTAAATCACTTTTACTGTGACCTTATGAACACAGATAGGAGGAGTGAGCACAAACTTCCGGATGCCCGATGTACTAAGCATACAACTTGGAGGTGGATCAGTAGTGCAGAAAAATGTTAGTATCCTCAGTGTGAGTATAACTTTTCTAGCGAAAATTCTCATAAGCAATTTCTGAGATTGTTGGGCCAACAATATTAGGAGTTGTTGCGTCCGTGTTGGCAGTGGTATACAAACGGATGCAACAACTCTCAACAATAGTGGGACCTGCAGTGCATCGTGGGAAGGATACAACCTATAAGACCTAATGCGCGTGCGTGGCCCTAACAATTTATTGGAAGAGATGTCCCGTTCGACTCTTTCGTCTCTGCTATCTTGAACCGTAGATAGCGGAATACTGACTCATATAAGTACAGGGTATCTAAAATTTCCTTTGCCTTACCAGGGTCTGGAAGGTTATTTTCGGGATACGAGATTTGACCAAAATACAATGCGGGACTCTGGAAAACGCAAGATATCTTAACGGGAAATGTATTTACATTCGGTGGAGCTAAATGAAGTGGCCGTGTCAGAGAATGTAAATACTTTCCTAATAGTTGTATGAACGCACGTGAGCCTTTATGGCGTTAATGCACTCTATTTTGTCAGGTATATAAGGTTTTGAAATATGTAATGTATTCATTTCAGCTCTTGAACTTTCAACTTTTGTTTTTTATATCTTTTTTTATTTATCTATTGATTGATATTTTACCTTTTGCCCCCCAGAGGTTGAGCTACTGCATTGGTTGGGGAATACGTTCCCAAATTTTCCATTGGGTTTTTGGATTTTTGTATCAGGCGGCGCACGTGATTAGTTTAGCCTGATTGAATTTATTAGGGAATATTTGTATATCATTCTTTAGTCATGATGTTGAACTTTGTATGTCATTCGGATGGCAATAAACCCCCATTCCAATTTAAGCACTCATTTCACTTGTGCTTGGGAGACCACCTGGGGTTTGCTCCTGGGAATTCTTGGTGGGGGTGTGCCGCCCAATTCTCCAAATCCTGACCCTATTTCAGACCAAAAAACGTCATTTTTTCACACCTGGCCTCTAAGAAATTATGTCATCGTTACTTAGATTAGAACAGCAACGAAAAAGATGTCTTAAAATCCATTTCGAATTCGCATATTTCTCTTTCTTACTCATTTGAAATTGAAAGAATAAATACGTTGTTACACGCCCGTAGTTCTCTTGAAACAATTCCCGATTCCAGTCCAAAATGGGCAAAGTCTATACCCGTTTTCAAATCAAAACGGCGCAAAAACCCTGGGGCAGCACATACCTATTTGGCTTATATAGGGGTGTACCTTCCCCCGATGACCATTGGAATGTGCTTGAGTTTCTGTATTATCCATATTTCGCTAGGGAGAAATAACAGTTGGTCCCAGAAGTGTTGGGTACAAGTTGACTTCCGAAGCCCTTGTTTTTGAGGGAGGAAACACTATGACTTCCACTGATATAGCTGTCGCTTCTGGTTTTTGTGATAACATTGGAGACAAAGAAAGAGTGAAGCACATTCCTGAAGAAGTCAGGACTGGATCACTGAAATTTATCAAAAAGAAAATTGAAGCAGCAATAGATCGTGTTAAGGTACTCTTTTACGTTCAATAATTGGAACATAAATATTTGGGATAAGTCTCATTTAGTTTCTTTGTTTTTCGTAATCCGCAAGTCAATGTACAATGCTCATAAAACGGCAGAGGAGGGTTTGGAATTATGATCATTGAAAAGCTGTTTTTCAGTCAACATTTAAACAGAATTATGAAAGTTGCTCATCATAAGATCAAGTTGTTAACCTGCATACCAGATATTTGGCAACACAAGCTGGCGCCGCCCCTTTTCGTCTTATGACTTCGTCTGTAATCTAGCCGGTTAGCGGGAAAGATTAAATTATCTATTTTCGTGTTCTTTTTTTAACAGATAAGCAAGGACGATCAGTTAGTTATACTTGTTGGAGGAGGTAGCATTCTTGCAAATCCAGAGAAGTCACAAACTTTGAAAGGCGCTTCTAAAGTTGTTTGTCCTGAGTATTATCAGGTATTTTTGTGTATACTATATAGATTGCGCGTTAGATCGCACACAGCCTTACCGAGCTAATAATTACTTTCTATTCTTTATTATAGTGATGACTTGTGAAACTTATCGTGTCGAATTTGCGTGCCAAATCTTCTTGATTTAGATGGTATCGAAATTTTGCAAAGCGTTGAACAGCATTATCTATGTTCTGATACTCGCAATGCGAGCATAAGCTGATTCTGAGCAGAATTCGTAAAAGTGTAACCCTGAAGATCGGAGGATCGAGACTTCCAGTGACGGTGTCACGAAAAGCTCAAGTCGGCCGCTCCAGATTTCTCAGACTAGTCAGGCTAGTCCAAGAAAGAAATGCCCAAAAGGCAAGTGACAGCGAAGTGAATTTTTTTCAGTTTGCTCTTTCTGCTCATTTTATCCAGGTTGCAAATGCTGTAGGTGCCGCCTTAAGCGAAGTCAGTGGAACCTTTGATCAGGTAATTTCCATGGACAACACAACTCGTGAAGATGCAAGGACTTATGCCGAGAAAGAAGCAAAAAGAAAAGCTGTCGAAGCAGGAGCTGACGAGAAAACCTTAGAAGTGATCGATGTGGTAGAAGTTCCTCTCGCCTACCTGCCTGGAAATGCTGTGCGTTATTATTTGAAGGTGATTGGAGATCTGAAAGAGATTTACAACAGCAACAGTCAAGAGGCATTCTCAGGTACCGTAAAATTTCTTAAGGAACGAGCGAGGAATTAGCAACCTTAAAGGCTCGCTACCCAGGAGCAAACTGATTTGTTTAACTGTTGCTTTATGAAACTGCCACGACGACAGCAGATAGATCTAATGACCAAATCTTAACTTCCTCTGCCGGGGAAGTATGAATGCAAACTTTTTATTTGAGAGTGAATCCTAACGGATGAATTTTGATGTATTCTGAGTTCTTGTACACATCTATATGACTGACACGTTTACTTGGACAGTTTACTGTGGTCTTTTTCGTGGGTGCTAAAAACTAATGTGTCTCTTAAACTCTTGCAGGCGGGGAATCAAGCAAAGTAGAACTAACCGATGAGCCCTCTTCTTTCGACCAAGCCCCTGTTTCTTCAGATCGGTTCTGTGACCAGGGAGACGCCATTGTCTTTAAAGAACCCTATATAGATCCAGCAACTGGGGACTGGATACTAAATAAATTTGATATCGAATGCATTTCCATTGGAGCAGGCATATTGGGATGTGGTGGAGGGGGAAGTCCATACCTTGGCAGATTAAGGACTCTGGAACTGCTCAAGGCCGGGAAAGAAATCCGCATCATTCACCCTAACAAGTGAGCTAAATATCTTGCAAAGAAAGGATGAAGATTTCCTGTCTACTTTACTGACAGACTTGACTGGCTAGTAGTGCTATAAAGTGGTACATTCTCTACGTGGAAATACAGTGGAACTTGAATTTCCTTTAGGACACCTCCATTACGGGGACACAAAATTTGGTCCTGGAAAAATGTTCTCATAATCTTGTGTCTTTTACCTCTATTGAAGGGACACCTCTATACAGAAGACACCTTAGTACTCAAAACGTGACTGACCACAAAAGGGTTGATAACCCTTAGGTGTACACTTAACACACTGATGTCAGCTTTCACAAACTAGACGTATCTCACTTAAATCAATGTACAGCACTTGTGGAAATTCAACATACAATATCGCAGAGATGGTTTATACATTATCAAGCTGCGCTATAACTACTGCAGCCAATTCTGAAGCAGAATATATAAAAAAATAAATTGCCTTTGTTTGCTAATCATTAAGGTGGCTGAACACAGTTTTGCGGGTGGTCAGCGGTAGCCCGTGTTTTAAATTAGATAAACAGACATGGCGGCGAAAAAAGCAATGGTACACAGAAGACGATTTCTCAAAATCTACTAATTAAAATTTTGTGATATTCGGCAGAATTTTTACTTTTATCTTATTTTAAATAATGAAAACTTTAAAATGGGAGATGAACAGACGAATTCTGTGACGCATTTTAATTACAGTACAATTGCATTATTGATTATCTAAAAAGCCGTCCGTTAAAATTCTGTCAAATAAGTTTCAAATGGTAATGATTAATTACAGTAAGCTGTGTGCAAGTTTATAGGAAAATCTAATGAGCGAATTTTATGTAAACTGAGCGAAACGGAAATTTAAAGGTTGTAGTCAATCGTATATGTTACCATGGAAACTACAAAAAAGTCAAATTTTACCTGTCAATAAAAATCTTTTATCGGTATATTTTTTCACTTGCCAAGTTTCAGCTTGTGAGCTGTAATTAACCTTTCTCTTGCCATGATTTGGCAAATCACAACTGCCAAAACGGTGTTTCCCAGCCTAACCTCCATTCAAGAGACACCTGCCTCGGTCCCGAGGGTGTCTCCTGAATAGAGGTTCCACTGTACTAAGCTTTCTCCGTCCCTGCAGTTTTAATTTTATTGCTTTTTTTTCCCTTTAGATTAGGATCATCTCCTAGTTTGACTGGTCCTGTGGGACTAACAGCTTTAATGGGTGCACCAATGATCGATCTTGAGAAGTTGTTCAGTGGTCGGGAAAGTAATTCAGCCCTGGAGGCAGTTCAAACGATTTTGTTTAATGGCGATAAGGTTAAAGAGAAAACTGTTACTGATGGAATTAGGATAACCGAGGATGTACAGCTTTTAGAGAAAGCGCAGGTATTGCTACTAATTATTGTGTTTCAGTTAATAATACTGTAAACGTTACTTTGTATTCGGACAATTAAAAAAAAGCACTTTACTTGAGTGTCCAGGTATTCATATAACAAGAAAGTACTAATCGGGGACACTATTTTTACGTCTCCATCTGGAGATAGGACCTCCATTTTACGTGGTCATCCGAGCCACCCGAAGGTCTAGCTGCTTGCAGTCTGCAAAGGAAGTACCTTCATTTCTCAGTCCGGCCCCAGGAATCGAACCCGCGACTTTCTATTCGCAGTCAAGGGCTCTACCGACTGAGCTAATCCAGCTGCGATCGAATAGTTTTAATTCCGTGTGGACAGAAGGCTGATTCGTTTTTAAAAAACTATTAGGTGCAGTTTCGAATATATCCGGATTCGTGTGGACCAGGACCATTAATGTGAATGAATAGACGACATAGACGTGTGGCCTAGTTCTCCAGTTCTAAGCAGATTATGCAATGAGCTAGTAATTAAAACCAGAGTTGACCACTTGCTGCGCTTTTCACAAACATGCGAATTCTGAAGTTCAAAAGCCAACTGACGATTGCTTTTTTTGCTGCCGTCAATCATCTTAACGGACCTCTTAGGAAACAAAACTTTACTTTAACGGGTTCAAAAGGTCATGGTTTGTGATTTGTGATCGGTGGATTTGGATCCGTTTTGTGTGTTTCTGTGTTTCAAGGTTCGTTGCTTGTGATCGTAATTATGATTGACGGCAGCGAAAAAGACGCAATTTAGGTGAAGGTGGCGTTTGAACTTTAGAGTTCGCATGTTTGTGAAAAAAGCAGTAAAGATCCATATGTAGGAGAGGATGCTAAAAATTTCTTTCGGTGTCGTCGCTAACAATACAGAGAGAGAAAAGTGAGAAAATTCTCACTCATTATCTACAGTTGATTTACAAAAGTTAACTGTCTGTATTACTTTGTATCCCAAGCCATCTCACCCACACAAAACGATAGTAGCAGTAGTATGTGGTGACGTTGGTGGAATAAATTCTATGGAACCCCTGGCAATCGGAGCAGAGCGAGGACTTCCCATTGTAGACGCTGATGGAGTCGGAAGAGCTTTCCCAGAATTGCAAATGTTTTTGCCGTTTGTTTATGGGAGTCCGCCCTACCCTGCAGCAATTGGAGACGAAAAAGGAAATGTTATTGCTGTGGCCTTTGCTAACTCCCCTAAAAGTTTGGAGGACTTTTTCAGAGAGAAAACGATTGAAATGGGGTTAAGTATATAGCAGTTCATGCTTTCATTCTGCCATGAGACAATAATGAGACAGAGATCGAGGGAAACGCCCAGTCTACTCCTTAGAGGTCCGCAAACTTTTATTCAGTGTTGTCAAGAGTGAGTAATGGAACATTATGCCCTCTTGGTATGTCGCATTGCTTTGAGGCGATCGTGTGTGAACTTAATGATGTTTGGAACAATCAATTAAAATGTGCAAACGTCGCAGTAATTAGACTTCCGCTCCAAAATCACAACCTCCTGAAATTCACATGTCCCGGCCAAAGCCCTAAGATTCCTTTTCTGTCCAATCATTGCTCTCTTGATTCTAGTTATCAATAGAAAGCCTCAAGTTTTACTGCATTTACAAGAAATCAAGAAAAGATTTGATACAAGTATCAGTGACTAGGTTCCTAGGGGGCAAATAGGGGCTCAAAACTATAAACTAACAAATTTTGTTTGCCCTACAGGCTTAAGTCTTCTTCAGCCCCTCTTTGAGCACAAATTAAACCAAAACTGTCCTATCAAATTCATATTCCGGCCAACTCCGGGACTCATTTTGGCTTGGGCTCAAATTATCCGTTGAAAACTGGACTTACATAATGATCCTAATTAAGACAGCCAAATTTGACTCCTTGTGTACTTTTTTTTACTTGCCGAAATAATCCAAATTTCAGAACTGACTCAATTCATTTAATATCGATAACTAATGCAATACTGTACTTTGACTTATTTAAAGTGGCAATAACATGTGTTCTGTTTCTTCTCGTAGTTGTACTTCTGGCTTCGCTGTTGGTCTTGACTGGAAAGATGTGAAAGAAAAGTGTGTCCCTTATTCGCTTAGTAGAGTATGGCGCCTGGGAAACTCTGTACTTCGCGCAAAACACAAAAAGGTATCCCCTGTGAACAGCATCCTTCAACATGAGAATGGAAAAGTGTTGATCGCAGGAAAGGTTTGTAGCTCTGTAACAATCATCATCATGACAGCGAATAACTGAGCTTCTTCGCGTTCTAACAGTTACACCATACTCGCATTCACACCAAAGCTGAAACACGTTTACAAGCTGTTTAGAAAACAAGGTTTAAAATTGTCTTTTTTTTTTCTCCATGAAAGCTGCTTACTAACGTTTGACTATTGCAAATAATGTGCAAATTACAGACAATGTTAAACATTTATTTGAATCTTATGTAAACATCTGTGTTCCGGTTTTCTATTTATGTTTTTCATTTATGAAACCTGGATTAATTAAACATGTTTAGTTGGTGTGGATGAGGCAGCGTTTATTATTTAATGTAGAAAGCTACGGCGTATCCAGCTCTATTTCATGCTATTTTTCCTTAAAAAGTTGCCACTAACAGGAGAAATTCTTTAATGCTTTGTGTTAAGCCAGGTGGTTGTTTTTAGATCGCTGATGTCCATCGTGCGACAGAAGGAGGATTTAACAAGGGAAGCTTAATAATCGAGGGATCAGCGAGATTCAGTGGCATAAAACTCAACATCGACTTTCAGAACGAGAACTACGTGGCTTTCACCCTCAGATCTGATGGATCTAAAGACGTTTTGGCCACTGTTCCTGATCTCATCTCTTTAGTTGATGAAAACACAGGTCAACCGATCATAACAGAGGAAGTTCGTTATGGTTTGCGAGTGGCTGCCATTGCCTCCCCCTGCTTTCCACAGTGGGCAACCCCACAAGGATTAGCAACAGTTGGGCCTGCGGTGTTTGGATATCAAGATGTTGTTTACAATCCTGTCAAAGTGTACAAGAAGCACCCTCCCATACCAGTAGCTAGAAATTAAGCATAGGTTTTTTATTTCTTTTACGGCTTCACGGCAATTGTGGTTACAAAGTACTCATTGAAGACTTTTGAGATTAAGGTTTGACCATCTCACCGCAAACAGCAAATCGCAGTTTGCGTTAAGCATTTTCATAGATGCTTACCATTTATATTGCACAAATTAACATAAAAAATATGACCAAATGTGCATTTCACGTTATACGTCGACTTCAGATTCCAGGGTGGTTGCTCGCGGCTGCCATGTTTGTTTTCATTCATTCGTTCAATTCTATTTTAGCTGAGAAATTGCCTTCAGAATTACACTTGGATGAAAAAGGCTTTGATAATGCAACAAGCGAAAGAGTTCTGAAAAGTAACATTTGCTCTCCGAGACGTGGGATGATGACGCTTTAGGGTGCAAAAATTAAACCTTGCGGTAAATGACTTCCCTCTAGAGCGTGGTCTAGCCCTAAAAACGTAGATAACAGTGAATAACCGAGTGCTCTTTCGCGGTTTCCCCTAACAAACACATAAATATATACTCAGTGGATAGTAATTTATTCAATGGAAAACACTATCCAAGTTTTGAACAACTGGACCTTGGGTGGCACTTATATCTTGGAAGCGACGCCGACTTTACAGAAAAAAATCCAATGTATAAGGTAGTTTATAAAATGGCTAAGATAGTACACGCGTTCTGATTGGTTTAAAACCTATGGTTTATTGTGCTGGTAAACTCATAGTCTTAATTAAAATTATTTATAAAAGCAATAGACACTCTATAGGTAGAGCGTGGGTTATTACACCGGTAAAACCATAGATAATGTGGTCTGTTGCTTAAATATGGGGGTGCTTACATCAGAAAACTCGCACCGGCGAGAGTTTCATTTCGTATCGCGTTTACATGATGACTGGGCCACTTCATTTCTCGTTATTTGAAGGTACCCCTCATGTTGATAAATACACGTTTGATTCAAAATCACAAACACTACACATGCGCTACCTTTTCCAGTCTACTGGCAGACCGATTTCACACCGAAACGGGTGGTCGTTTAGCGTTAACATGATACCGTTGGGAGATTTTGTACCAGAGTGAAATTCTCGCCCCGGTACAAGAACTGGGGTAACCTCACGCCCGGGTAACTCGCGCCGGCATGACATTTTGTGGTGGTATCATGAATATAGAGCCATGAGAGGGAACCAGAGTGAACTCGCTCCGGGGCGAAAGTCGCCCCGGTGTGACGACAGTGATAAGGGCGCGCGCAGATCTGAAAAAGATTCTTGACCAATAGCAGAACGGCAAATTGAGCCCCGAAACTTACGACTGAGCTAATCTGCTTATCATCTGGTTCATGACTGTGCTCTAATAATTACATACGGCTATATAACCACGGGTTCTTTCTAATTTTTGCTTTAGTACAACACAACGATGTCCTATTGTAAAATCATCTATTGTGTAACAGTTTCCATTATATCTTTGATGAAGTAAATATACATATGACCCTTCAGACCTTCATATCGTTCACTTTAATTTAGTTCAGGTCTGTGCTTTGTAAACCTGTCACTTCATGACGCGCAAGACATGAACGGCATTTGACGACGACCGGACGAAAGCAATTCTTAAGCCCTTGTCGGTAGTTTTTGCTAAAAATAAAAAGGATGGCTGGATTGGCAACAGTGCTTAAAAGTGCAGGGAGGTAAAGACATGTGATTACAAGCATTTCTTGTGAATCTCTTCTCAAAACGTGTTCAAAAAACACAAAAAAGATGATCGAGAGGTAATAAAGTGTCCAACAGGCGAAAAAAATGACACTGATCGCGATCAAAGTTTTGATTATTTTTTGATTCTGTTGATGCCTTCTTGCAGAATTGCTGAGGTTAGGGTTCGGCACGCCTTGTGTTGTTGTTCTCAGAGCTTTCATGATGCGAGAATTAAGGATAACGATGACAATAAGGGGGATTATGAAAAGCAGAACAATTCCCATAAATGTATAAACAGCGTTTAAGAGTTTACTTCCCATTGTGCAAATAAATGGTCCATCCAGTTCTTGTGTTCTCTTGTAATAATGTAAAAACGGGCCGAGCATTACCATTGGTATTATCCAAGACGCAAGAATGAAAGCCGTTCGCATCTTTCCAGTAATCAGAATCACCTTCATAGGATACACGATAGCTATGTATCTGTCCACGGTAATTAACACAAGGCTTTCAATGGAAACTGAATAAGAGACATTTGCAATGTACCTCCCGAATTTACACTGAAAGGAGGACACTGAACCTCCAGGAACAAATAGCCTGCTGCTTGCGTACAGTGCTAGATCAACGGCAACAAAGAGGAGATCCGATACTGCCATGCTAGTGATATAACTGTTAGTACTGTTGCGAAGGCTCAGCGTTTTGACGAAAGAAGTAATCACAAGGATATTGCCAATCGCAGATACCAACATGGCCACAGAGGATACAAATGAAAGCGCCACTTTGAACGAATAAGGCACTAGCAAGATTTCATTGTACTGATGGTCTCGCGAAATATTTGAGTAGTTCATTTCGACGGACTTTTTAGATGTTAAGGTGTCAAGCAGAAATTTCTTCTAGTTTTTCGGTATCCGTTGCATTTAACTTCGGAATTGAAGCTCAAAAGAAAACCGAGTTAAGCTTGAAAAAGTAATATATAGCCAGAGAAAATAACATCCCGTTTCGAAACACATACAAATACAGAAGGCCCGACAAAGGGCCTCTATTTGTTTTGTTGTCTATCTCTGAACAAACATGATAATGGTCACCTTGGCAAATTAAATAGAATCACGGAAAACTTCGGGTTCGTTATCTTTTTAAAATTTGTCAAATAAATATAAATTCGTTTTCTGATTTGAACTGAAGTTTTCGTTCTTTATCGAATAGTAAATTTGCATATATATTTAGAAAAAGGAAAATATTATCTGGGAAAAAATCTCAAGTTCTTTTAATTTTGTTCTTTTCAAACCAGACAGGTGTTGGTTTTTTCATTGTTGATTTTACTAATTGCATGACAATCATTACACGCCATGGTTAGTGGGCAAAAAACAATGATGATGTTGTTCCTCTGACTTAATTCTCAAAACTTATAGATTAAACCAATTCTGGCCATGGGTGGTGAGTTGTTTAGTACTTTCAAAGTGTTTTATATGTATATGTAGTTGTTTGTACATTTTACCAGGTATTTAAACACAATATCAGAAACAGTTTCTAGGCAAAAAATAGGATTTTTCGCCTGATACAGGCGCTTTAATGATATTTGCTTCATGACAGGATTAATATATTGACTCAAAGCAACAAGCAATTGGTTCATGGTATGAAACAAGCGTACAAAAAAACGCGGTCGGGTACGGTAAGCTCATTGTCCTCTCTTACGGACTCATCTATCTACAAACAAAACGTCATAAAGTAAGTTTCATGTGGCGGTTGAATTTTTGTTCTTGGAGCCAAAAAAAAAGATTTTATTTTGGAGTTTCGCTTCTTTCTTCCGGTAATATAATCTAAGATTTTTTTATATTCATTTCGCTAATGAAGCCAAAGCTCGGAACAAAAATTTTTTATTCGCTCCGAGGACAAGAATTAATATAACCCTTTTGATAAAAGTTGAGTTTTCCGCTTACATTTCAGGTCCTTTCCTTCCCGAAGATTAAAAGTTTCTACCTTGATTCCCACAACAATGTTTCCTTTGGTAAATTATGTCAAAATCAGTAGCTACGGAAACGAGATATAAAATGATTAGAGGGCGTCACATTGCTAGCGCGAAATCTGCTTCAAAGAGCCTGTCAACTCTTCCAACCTCGTTCCCAGGTTCTCTTTCCTACCCTTCGAGCCGTAGGGACAGGTAGGAGAGAACCCTGGGAACGAGGTTGCAACTTTTCCTTTCCACCCTCCCTGTTTTCCTTTAAAGCACTTGATTCTCACTTTTATTTTTGACAGAAAAAAGTGTAAACAACAATGTCAATGTCGGAGTTTTCTCGTGTACTAGTTACTATGCTCGACTTGAAGTGGTCAAATAGCTGTCTAATCCGGTGCAGTACCTTAACCTCCCTTGGACGTACACGGAAATTCATACCCCCATTTCATTTCGTCGTCGTTGCACGACTGCGAAATGAAACTTTCTAATTTCAGGCACGCGCTTGCTTTATGCAGCAGGTAAACATAACACAAAAATTTTCTTTTCCTAAACTTAGGGCCTGTTTATTTACATGGAGGTGGGGTGAGGTAACCCGCTTAGGTGGTGTAATCCGACTGTCCATATATAGTCACCCCACCCATCATGTAAACGTGATCAAATTAAAATGCATGCATGAGAGATTATTCTTCGTGAAGCGCCTCCCTGCTAGGTTTCTAATCTCGTGGCGGGGGGACCCCAGGCAAGTAAGGTAACACACCTGGGTGGGGTAACCCGCCTGTCCATATAATCTCTTATTTTAATTTGATCACGTTTACATGATAGGTGGGGTGATCCGCTGCATGTTACCTCACCTATCTGGGGTCCCCCACCTCCATGTAAACAGACCCTTACTCACTGTCTGGTAGACAATGTTTTATACAAAAGTAACAAATTTTCCAGAAAGGGTGGCGGGCATTAGAGGAGGAGAACTGAGGGAAAAGGTAGAGGGGACACGCAGTCTCCGTACCCTAGGGAACGCCTAACTTGAAAATTGCCTGAGACAGGGTTCGTACTCTTTTGAGCTCTTCAAATAGACCTTTTTACAGATACGGCCTCCATATTGAATTAATTCGATTTAAGGAGTATATAACCCTAGAAATATAAAGTGAAAGACCATATTTCTGATACTAAACTAGCAAAAGGCGATCATTATTACATCCAAACACAGCACAAGGATCTTTTTTTCCCATTACAATCTTATTCTTTAAAGAAAACTTTAAGAAAAAATGTCCCGAAAAGCGCTCAAAAATACAAACGAAATGTGCTCATGCTCCCTAGGCATCCTATAATACTCCTTAAATCGAATTAATTCAATATGGCCGCCGTATCGGTAAAAAGGTCTATTCCATTACTTTCCAGACCTTTTCAAGTTTTCCAAGACCATAGGTTTAGCTGTTACTTTAAAAGAATTCAAAAACTTTCTTTGTTTTAGGGTATTTTTGGACCTTTTCAAGAGTTCCGCAGACTCAAACTCTGGTGCACCAAAATGCGTACCGATTGCGCTGTGTAATTACTCCTATTTATCTTACATTGTTCTTGCCTTGTCAACTGCAGTAACTAATCTATCAAACAAAACTTTAATTTTCAGCTATGACTTTCGAGGACCGACAATTAAATTCCACGACTTTCCAGGCCTGGACGAATGAAACTCTTGGTTTTCCATGACCTTTACAAACCCTGTTGGAGAAGGGATGGGTATTCTACGAAGCTACAGTGTCTGACGTTCAGTAAATTTCACGATACATGCAATGTTGTAACTTGCAAAACAGAGATTCAAACATCGTGAAAGACAGTCGCTCGAAATGACAACAAGCATTTTACAAGTTGTTTATTTTACATATTATACAAGCAGAAACACACTTTAAACAAAATCTTTGGCAATAAAATTCTAACTACATGTTGTGTATACCTAAAAAGAATAGTTAAAATATAACGAATAAGGTTACAATTTAGTTCTTAAGTAAAGATTTGATAAGGCTAAGGCCTATATGATTAAATTAGATATTTTACAAGCTGTTACATTAACATGTACTAAGAAAATTAATTTGAAAAATGCTGTCTTCTAAAGATAGTTAAAAGTCGGAAATGGATACTGTATAATATATGCATAAGGTTTAGTTAATCAGGTTCTACCTCGAAAGAGCAAGAATTTCGTAGTTTTCTAAAATATAGCAGAACCAGCACAACTGAATCAATTCGTCATAGAGGGAATAGAAGAGAAAGATGTAAGAAGATAATATTATAAAAACCAAGGACATTTTATAAGGCATATCTATCCATTTATATGCGATTTGAAACTAAAAACGTCTTCGGCACCAGAATTAAAATTTTCATAACACATTGAGGCAATTAAACATTTTCTAATAACGATTTTTTTAAAGTAGGTAGTAAAATATTTACATAGTTCATCTTTTGTTTATTATTTGGAAAAATTCAAGCCAGAGGTAGCATCTCTGGTGCTGTGAGATTTGAGACGCCATGAAAACTGAAATGACAAAAAAATTAAAACAACAATTAATATTAGCCATGCGAATAAACAAGCAAACAGAAGTAAGATTGTTTGACACAATAACCGCACGCTAACAACTTGCTGACACCCGATTATCCTTAACTGATACTACGTGACAGTCATCACGAGGTGTCCTCGGGAACAACGTGAAGTCCATGAAGGTACTCATTGATACTCGAGACATCCACGTTCAGGTTCGCTTGCAATTTCGTTACATTTCTTTCTGTATTGTATGCACTAAAGCCACTAATGAGCGAAAATGAATTGCATCATAATGGCAGCTTCACTGCCGTGCCCAGTAGTTTACTTTCACAGAGCAGTGCTCCTTCCAGTAACCACATATATTTTTCTTTCTTGAAAATAAAAACAAATTGCACGAAAGCTTTTAAGTATGAATGGGGGGATTGATGTCCAAAGTATGTGACATCCAATTATCCATAATCTTCCTCGGGATTTTCTCAAAATAGTTATGTTTCACACATTCTTGAAAAGGCCATCAGGGAATAGCTGTCTACAGTTACATGGTATGAAAAAAGTAAACAAGTGTGAAACTGAAAGGTCTATATAACGTGGTTATGAATTGCAATAATCTCACCTGGCACTCTGGTATTTTTCCCTAACAGCTTTTTGTGCATGTTTTGGTGCAAGACTGAATGTTCGATGCAGATCATGAAGACATGGTTGAAGATCAAGGAGTTGAAATCCAGTGTAATGGCACAATGTTGGATTCTGAAAAAAGTTACTTTAAGTTACTTTCACTAAGATAGAGCAAGTTCAGATTAATTCTCAAACTCCTCTTTTTAATTCACCTTGTAGGTCTGGTGTTTTCCTCATGTACATGTATTCAAAAGCGGCCAGCCATTGACAAAACCTGCATGCATTGAGTGCGATCAACTCTTGTAACCCTATCCCCAACGTCATTTAATCCAATCCAGGTTTTGCCAACACTTTTTAATTGTAAGACAAGTTCGTTACCATCCCTTCAGCCTTCATTTAGTGATGGTGTTTAATGCTTAGAACCAGGGTCCGAAATTGCGCCTTCCTGGTCACCAATGCGACCAAAAATTCAGTTCTGGCGACCAGAATTTCACAGCTGGTCGCCAGCTGGCGACTTGAAAAGCTGGTTGTTATTGTAGACTTTCATGTTCGGAGAAAATGATTAAGAATTGAAACCTCGAAGGTCTTTGCCAACAGGTGTCTTACTTTTTGTCCTACTGATATTTTTTTAATTTAAAAGTGAAACGAATCTTCCTGTAAATATACCTCCACAACAGCTACGATCAATATGAGTTGAACATTTCAAGCCACCAAGGGGAATTTTTGGCGAAAATAATTTGCCCTCTGGCGACCAAAAATTTATACTTGCTCACCAGTTGGCGCCCATATTAAAAAGTTAATTTCGGACCCTGGTTCTCAGAACTGTGGTATTTAAAGACTCGACATGTTTGCACATATGTAGTTGAACAGTCATACAGTGTACAAAGAAAGTAGTGTCCAATAGCCCAGGGCTAATGGATTTTGCTATCAGGTCAGTGAATTCTGTTCATAACTTGCCCAACTGGCAAGAGAAGTTTTTCAGGAATTCAAATTACAGAATAATTGTAATGATCAGTCTTGCTGGTCAATTTTTTGGGGGCTAGTTGAAATGCATGCTCGCCACAACTTGAAGGAATGGTGAGCTGTAAAACTGACTTTCTTGGTACCCTGATCAGGGCAATCCCTCATGTTTACGTAGTACTACCTTGTCTCCATAACATATTACAGGCACATTACATAGCCAACATCTTGCGATGCCACCTCTGGTTTCAAAATGACTACTGAGGAATTATTGCTGAAGTTAAAACATACTCATGATGTGTCACTGCGTTACCATAGTGCTTCTGATTGATTGGCTGAAAATTCATACTTTTAAATGGCCCTAGCATGATTATAATTTATTTGTATTGGGAATGCTGATCAATTTTATACTTTTCTTACTGTTGAGATTCAAAGGGTTCAGTAAATAGATGTTACATGGCTGCGCGGGGATACGAATTTTATCTTCGAGTGCTGAAAGCATCTCTCACGAGTGAGTGAAGCAAACGGGCAAGAGATACTTCTCAGCACGAGATGATAAAATTTGTATCTCCAAGCGGCCATGTGATGTTCTGTTCATTTTATAGATACTGATGAAATTCCTACAGAAAACACAACTTATAAAGAAGAAATAACTGTAACTGTACTGTCCTGGCACCTCGAAGCCATTTTGTGAACGAAATTTCAAAAGAACCGGCCGCGCCTGAGCGGGAAGCTCTCTTGTAATTGGCAAATCATGTTAGTAACCATGGTGACACCAATATTCTCACACGTGAAAGATAAAAATAGTATCTTCACTGCGCGCAATGAAGATGTGATTTTTTAGTAAACGGAAAAATCCTGGTATTTCATCAGTATCTATATAATAAAGTAAGTTACACCCTACCCATGATGGAAGTCCAAGAGTGTGAAGAGCTAAGACAACAGAGGTTGCAGCAATTGTTGATGGAAAATACTTTAAGAAAGCTTCACCATCAACCAGAGTAAGCTCGCAGAGATACTGAAATGAGAAAAACTCAGTAATTGAATTCTGCTTACCTACACACTATGAAATCCAACAAAAGATTCAAAAGACAAATTAAGACGTGAAAGCTGGCAAAAATTAAATCTTTAAAGTGTAAGCAAACAACAATTTTTATTGTAATAATAACAAATTATCTCAAGGTTACCATTCATTTTATGTGCTGATTTTGAAACTTTAATAGATGTGCTGCATATTAATTTGCTAATGTCTGATACCAACTTGTCACTAAGGTCATAGAAAGCTTGTAAACAAGGTTTCTTTAGTCCTTCTCCATCAATTTATTTTGTTTCAAACTGCTGTAGCTTTTATTGACCGAAATGGAAATAAAATAAGTTACTGATCACTCTAAAAAAATCATTAGCCTATTAATGTTCACATTTTAGTCCCCTCCTCCTTCCCTTTAAACAGGGAGCATATTCACCAGCTTATAGCAAGTTCTTTTTTAGACCTACATGTACATGTACTCATAACATATCAAGACACTTGACAGTTTTCATGTACCAGCTATACAGTGGAACCTCTACTAACAGACACCTTTTTCAATGGCCACTTTCTTCTGTCCACTCCTAAAGGCTACCGTTGTAGAGAGGTTCAACTGTTGTACCTTGCAGCAGGACCAAGCCACTCTAAGGAGATTCTCATTGCTCATTTAATTTCAAAGAGGCCCAAAGTATGGCAATATGAACATCTAATCAAACTTTCCTTGGAAGCATCTTTTCTCCACCTCCCATTAAAATAGTGTATAGGTCACACAGTCTTGTTGTACAATCATTTATTTATCCCCTGTCATTGCATCGTTGGTTTAAATAACATATAACAATATTATTGATGTACTGTAACTGACCTTTGCTAATGCTTCAACCTTTGGTCTGTCTGAATCGTTGCATTCTACTGCCTTTAAAAATCTTTCTAGGAAATTTAGAATGGTTGGTACAGAAACATCAAAATTTAATGTCTTGAGAACAAGGCTTTCCATTTTCAGAACCTGGAAAGAAAAAAGTAAAATATCAATTGATCACTGGAACATATTAAAATACAGTGTATGATGAACCAAAACCCTTCTACGCCATAAACGGTAAAATAATTTTTCAGTACATGGGTTCCATTACTTTGTCCGCAATAAATTGAAGGTGTGTGAGTAAAATAAGGCCTGAATAATTCGCATTTGACCCAGACACATAATTTCTACCAAGCAAATTGAAAGGGGAATCCAGCATTTCAAAAAATCCAGATGCCAGTAGTCTACTCCAACTTACAGGGCCTTTTACTGTCAGTTGCACCTAAGCGTGTTGTGATTGGGTGTAAATATCAATGTTTTGCTGCCAAACATTCGAAGTTTGGAGTTGGTGGCTGTTGTCAACTTGACTTGTTTTTGCTCAACAAAATATTCTTTGCAAGAATTTTTGGACGTTAAGAATGATTTCTGGAGGCAAGTGTGCATGTTTCTGAGCGAGATATATGCCTGAAAGTTAAGAAAAAGAAAATATGAGCGAAATGCGCTGATCAAAAACATACAAACAACTTACATTTGGCGCGACAGTTTGCTTTAACAGCTGTCAAACTTCAAATATTCGGCGGCAAAACACATCATGTCTGGCATTTATTAGAACCTGTCTTTTTCTCGTGTTCACACTTAGATGCAACCGACAGTATTCTCATGTAACTTTGCTCCCCGCCCCCTCAACTTTTCAAACTCTTAACCTGAGAGATTTTGCTCATTACAAGTAAATCAGACTTAACTTCTAGGTACAGTGGTAGTTGTAACCCTTGATGCGAGACCATAAGAGCGTGCTTAGCAATTAATGGGTACATACCTGCTTGGCAGGATAGGTGTCATCTGTGATGTACACAAACTCTGATACTTCTGGTGGATAAATCTCCTCAAACTTCGACGCTATTAACATGCAAGCCGTGCCCACAAGCTGAAGCTTTTCCCTCCTGACTGACATGACCGACAGAAATCGGTCTATATAGTTAACTGTTAGATAAAGGGTCTGGGGTAGGAGTTTGTATTCTTCTGCCACTTCTACCAGCCAGTCAACAAGGATACTGCGCATGCTGTGGTTGATGTCAACTTGCTTCTTCATGTAGTGAGGCTTAGGTCTGTGTTTAATCTGCAAAGAAAGAATACAAAATAATATGGCTATCAGTCAATGCATTTGAATCATTCACAAGACGCAAATGCAAACGTTTTTTTCAAAAACGTTTGCAACCAATATTTAAATTTTATGTTTCAAGTAAAATAGTCAGTTTTTTTTACGAGTTGTTGATTGGCCAACAACCAACTTTCTTGAAATGTATTGTTATTTTCTTGTGGTCCAATTTATTGGTCAACTTTGTCCAAGGGGCCCCTGTTACCTTAGCCCCACTGCAAGGCTCCATTTGCACCAATCCTGGTAAAAAGATATGTGGTTTCAAAACTGTCCCGATTTGTGAGGACCGGGCCCAAATGCATGGGGTTGTATGGAAGTCTTACTGGGTACAACTTTTAAAATAGGTCATCTGTTGAAGATGACCATTTAACACTTCTGAATATGCATGCTTACATCTTCTGTTCAGCAAATGGTAAAAATAGAAAGACATTTTGGGACTGACTTCAAATTTGATAGTTAAACTCACACTCCTTTGAGGGTCCTTTGCGTTTAGCAGGCATGATGGCAGAGGGCTGTTGTGATCAATTTTGTGACAGTGTCAGAGACCTCAATGACAAGTTTGTTCTTGTTGGCTGCAGGAATTGGCTGCAGTACCAGTGAACATAAACAGCAAACAAAATTTCATGGAGGTTCTAATCCATGCAAAAACTTAATATTTTGTTGCTAGTCTTAAATGGATTAGGGAGTCACTGAAGGATTTTGAAAGTGCTTTCAGCTAGACAGTCTTCATTGCAGATTTTGCATGTCTAAAAAATTGAATTAGTTTTGAAAGCTCCATTCGACTTTCTTATAACTTTATTCGAACCAATTATAAATTTTAAAACAGCAATACCTCTGCCTGCTTTAGATATTGAAATATCTCTGAAGCATATTCTGAGACGTAGAAGATACCACTATCAGTGTCGATGTCGCGTATTTCTGGCGTTGTTTCACTCGTGCATTCAAAGTCCTCGTCATCGCTCGAATCTATAACCATGGGAGAGTCCACTGCGAAAGAGAAAAGTGAAAACAAGCGAATAAATGAGGAACTTGACCAGAATTGGGTAAATTGGGGCTCTTAAAAGAGGTTCACTACTGTTTTACAGTTGAAAATAAAACTAAAGAACGGGCAGGTCCATTCAGTCTCCAACATTCAGAATACATGTAAGCTTACTGTTCCACATTGTGATTCCCACACTTACCTTCCGCTGCCGTTCTGTTTGCGACGAACACATTTGTCAAAGCAGGTCGTGAAAGGGAAGTCAATGCCGGGTTGAGTTCTGGAACTGCAGAACTGGAAAACGCTGTGCTTTGAGCGCTTGCAAGCACAGGTTCTGGGTCAACATGAATAGAGAAACTTTGCTGTGCTGTTGTTGGTATAGAGAAGGCAGTCTTTTGTTGTGCACGACTGAATGCATTTTCGTCGTTCTTTGTAGCACCAAAGCCGTACGAAGAATTTGCCAGGCCAGCCTGAAATTAGCGACAAAACTCGTCAAGAAAGAACAAGCAAATAGCATAGGATATCATTTTTTTAGAAAACTCTTTGAGCGGGTTTAAATGTAGTTCATTTCACTGACCTGTTTAGCAGCACGAGGCGGCTGAATTCTAACTGCGGCGTTGTTGGTTATCGTTCCAAGCACAGTTCTGTTCTGTCCTTGCTGCGTCGTTCTGGCTCTTCCATCTTCCATTTTAGCTTTTTTTAACACGTTTCTTTCTTCGTTTTCTGGAAAGTTGTTGGTGATACGAAAATTTTCGCCAATAGCTAACGACATTCCACAAGCAAAATGCGTACGGTTAAAACCAACGACTCAAAAATTCAAAAGAGAACTTAAATTACTATCCTACAACTGATATGAAATAAAGATGATGAAATGTGGCTACCAGCGCCGATATAAAATTTATCCTCTTGAATAAAAGTTAAACGTTTCTGCTCCTCTGTTGTAGAGCTTGTGATGTGCAAGGCTCGCGAAGACGAACGTTTTTAGTTCTTTCTGCATTTCAAGAATCCCGCTTGTCGACTATCAGCCAATCACAGCACAGAACTGCTCATTGTCATTCGCTACATCACGAATTGCCGCTGGCTGAGCCAACTGCGGCTCTTCTTTTGCCACAAACGCCGATGTTTATCGTAAAATGAACTTGAAGTGATGGAGTCTTTTCTACGAAGGCGCAATAAAGAATCATGATAAAAAAGAAAAACTGTGGAAAACCCGGAGCCCATTCACTGAGTTCAAATCAATTTCCTCAGTCGCCTTTCCCCGAACCGAAAAGCTTCAAAGTGGTTGACATCAAAATCCTCGGCGAATGATATTTCTGCCGACTTTCAACCAGAACCTCAGCTGACATCCAAAACCTCTCACCTGTTTTAACAACTTTTTTGAAAGACTGAGGTTTTCACCGCGTGCAATGACCTGTCCCTCGACGATTGACTTCACGTATAATAGATTCCATTCAAGGTGTATCTTTGAAGGTGTACGCACGCAGGGGAGAAAAGCTAAAGCGCCAAACAGCCCAAACCGAGGGGCTCTGGGGTACCGTAAATTTTCGAAACTAAGCCCCTCCACGTATAAGCCTCTCCAAACAGTATAAGCCCCCGCAAACTCGTAACACAAAAAAACTTGAGTGAAATCGCCCCTCCGATTGTAAGCCCCCCAGGGGCTTTGTACTAGTAGAAATTGCCCTCAAATACAAAGTAAAACAAAGCAAAAACGGTAAATTTCCTTCCAACTGTAAGCTAGCCCGATCGATGTTGAAAAGCAAATTTCGCTCAGTATATAAGCCCCTCGAAAAGGGCCTTTGAAAAATATAAGCCCCGGGGCTTATTTTCGGAATTTTACGGTATGTTCCCCCAGAAAATGTTTAGACTTCGGGTCTTGGAAATGCTATTTCCAGCGTTTTCCGCAGGACATTTTCAGTAAATCATAATTCAAATGCATGGTTACCGGTTACGGTGTTTCGGGAAAAAAAGGCCAGTCGGGCCATCATAATAATGGAATAACAAAATGATAAAGAAAATACTAACACAAACACACCTTAGTGCGAAAAATGTATCAGCCATTCCGATTAAATGATAAAAATGCTTTTTTAGGAAACAAAAAATATATTGTTTTCCCATAATTTAGCTGTATATCTACGCACGGCGGTATGTCTCTGGTATGTGTGTAGATGGACGTTAAGCTCCAGTATTTATATAATGTCAATTATTAAGTGCAGGCCTTTTTTGTGGTTTGCATGTTACAGCGAATCGCTCCTTGTCTTTTCATAAATTATGCGTAAATAGGAGTATACGCACGAGACTATTACATTTGACCTAACTCACCCATTAAAGCCAGCGGGGTAGCGTTTGTGACGTCATTAGTTTGAGGAGATTCAAAGGTAAAATTCATAAATTCCCTTTCTCACGTTAACATGCAATAAAAAACTCAGATCTGTTAACACCTCACAGTATTATTCAATTGACAGGGAAGTATCACAATTCAACCAAATGCTGCAACAAATCAGCGGCTAAATTTAGCCTGGTCTACCATGTCGCGAAACACGTGGAACAAAACAAAACAAAACCATGGTACAAGAACGTTTGTAAATAGTTGAAGAAAAATTACCCAATCTAGCGGAGAAATAAATTCCCCAACCCATCCCTCCTTGTGCCATGAATATTTTTCTCTCCGCAAAAACAAAAAAGAAAAGAAAAAGAAAAAGAAATATTAAGGGCATTCCGTGTCTAGCCTGCGTAGCAAGCGTTTCAGTGCGGTTTAGGAGCAAAGAACGAGGAACCAGAGTCAAAGAGCGCGCGAAGAATGGCGCATTTTATGGCTCTCGTTTCATTTCTCGCGCGGCTAAAACCGAGAATCTCGTTCCTCGGTCTTTCTTTGCTCCGAAACCAAACGGCAACGCTTGCTACTCAGGCTATTCCGTGTCATGTTCCGAACCTAATGCATTGAATTAAGTACATGAAAGGTTTTCGCGTCTGAAACAATTAGGAACGCCTACAGTCAATTTGGAACGGCTTAGCCGTTCTTTCCGCAAGACACCGAACTTTTCATGTACCGAACCAAATCCATAAGTTATTATAACGAATTTTGTAAGCAGTTTGACTGTACTGAAATGAATATTTTTCTCCTTTTGAATTTGAGTTCGGCTAAACCGAGCCCGGATTTTTACTAAGGTTAAAAGCGCGCGCGCAAGCAATCAAATGAACGATCTGTAGAGAGGGCGAAAAGGGAGAGTGAGGCTAGGGAGGGACGCGAGAGCCGCCCCTGGCCGGCCGTTACTTTTCATGCCCACACTGTACCGGATATAGCAAGAGATCATAATAGGATCTCTTGCGGATAGCTTTTCGTGGCGCTACACGCTACGTTGACCAGCTAAAAAATTTCAACCGACATTTCGTTCACACATTGAATCGTTCAATATTTTTATTTATGCTAATAGTGTTATCCATTTCGATCAACTTTTCTGTTACCAATACAAGGCTACAACATCATTTCTTCTCAGTGAAAAGAAAAAGGTCTTGTTTTCATCAATAGTGCCTTTTATTCTTATGTAAACATTGAACTCAAATAATAAAAGTTTAGTTGTTTAAGACGGGATCCATGAAGAAAAGAAGATCGAAAAGAGCCGTCTATTTCTTTCCACACTAAGTACATTCACAGAGTATTTTAACAGACCGAGGAAGAAATGAATGGCAAACGATCGAGACATTTCATAACATAGCCTAATGATTTTGAGTATACGCGATATACTTTCTGCTTTTAATTTTGGATATACTAAGAGAAATTTTGGGTATTTTTGCAATGGCGGATCCAGACTTCAGGTACGGGGTGGCGGCGGTCATCCAGACGCTGAGATAGAGGAGCGGGGGGCGGTCTTAAAAGACATTTTTTCGGCACTTCGGGCCTCAGTTTAGTCCAAAACTAAGGGGGAGGGGGGCGGGTCCTCCTGGCCCCTCCCCAGGATACGCCACTGTTTTGGATAGCCTGAATTTCAGCCCTCCCTTCCGTCGCGTCGAATTTCAGTTTCCGAAAGTATGCGACTCGTTCAGGCATACTTACAATTGTCAAACTAAAAAGTCGAAAGTATACAGAAACCCAAAAGTTAGAGGTGGTACTAAATTCCTTGGCAAGTTGAATTTACCTTTAGATACACCAGGAAAACTGAAATCAAATAGGACGACTGACTTTCTTTTAATCAAAGTTTTTATTTTTCTGTGGTATCGCTATATAGTCACATCTGATATTGTCCACTTCATGTTTGATGAGCACAAGATATAATTTTACATACAATACTTCATTTCAAAATGACAAACACTATTATAATAAGCACTGTTATTGAGAAAAAGGAAACCCAGATGTTAACCCTATATTAAGGAACTCCCAAAAAAAGGAAATATAAAAATGTAGCAATAAAAAATAAAAAATGTACATTTATATAAAGGCAAATTTATAAAAATATATAAAAATCTCAAAAATATCTTAAATTAAAAAAGTAAAGAATCTCAATTCAATAAATATACCGTTATTCACGTATACCGTTTGATTATTAAAGAAACTCAATTATATTGTTAAGGGAAAAGAACTTATATTTTATAAATAGATATAGATAAATAAATGAATAATTAAATAAGTTGGTACTTATGGACATTAATAAAGGGCCTACTTTCCTAAAACACGATATATAGTTCGATCTCTGACACGGAATGCGTGAGCTTTTATCCACAAAGCATTAAAACAGCACATTTCTCCATATGACATTCTGTAGACAGGAAAAAAGACAAATTAGACGACGTAACCAGCAGTTTCAATCGTTACCTTTCTGATACGCCTAAACAATTAGTTCAGTTTGCGGTTTGAAATGAAACTGAATTATAAATAAAGAAATAAAAACAAGTAAATTTATAAATAAATAACTTGGACGTATAACTAATAAATAAAGGGCCGTTCCTTTAAGCACCATCAGACACGTTATACTTCTCTGAGGATATGGAGCTTTTATCCACAAGACAACTGACAGCTGCAGTCTACTGAAAAAGAATGTAAAGTTCTTCCAGAAGAGAATGGTGAGAATAAATCATCTGTAAAACCGACACAAACGTCGTCAAATTTTGATTTATGAAAGAGAAGAGAAAAAGCTGTCAATGCTGTGAAAATAAGATAAAATTTTGATTTGCTGTGCATGGAATGTTTAAAAAAAAAAAGTTCCCTGCGGAAGATAATAAAAAAGTACAGTTAGAAGCTTTAAGTTACTAAATTAAAGACTAAGATTTCCAAAGACTTAAATCAAAACAGTTTAACACAGGTAATTACCGCTTTTAGAGACGACAGATGTCTCAAGTGAACAATTATTTCTTTTATCCTCGTTTCGCACAAACACCGTCCTCTTCGACACCGAACTCGACAATGTTACCATGGTAACAAAGCCTACGATGTGAGAAAAAGGAATGTATGAAACAAGGATAAATAACTTTCGCCCAACATGTGTCAATCAATACACGAGCAGCGTGTGATTGACATATGTGAAGCGCGTTCTCGGGCCTTATCGGGCTGGCGTCACTTCGAATCATCGGGCTTTCCTCCAAAAAATCGAAGTGAGCGGCAGCGCAAGAAGTGAAAGCTTTATTCATATTTGAAGTGACCAGAAAGTCTGATTACTTGCAAAAGTAATTCGTAAAATATTTTCAGGGGAACACATTTAACAACGTAAATGTTTTCCGACTCCCTGTGTTACAACTGATAACGTTCACCTAGAAAATAGTAGAGTCGTACGTAACTAAACG